AAAATGGTATAGGACTTTTCACCTCAGTTTTATTCCTTCTACCTATCTACGAGAGATGTTAAACCAATTCTGGGACCCTGTATATATATATATAGGGCGATGATTGGACTCTATAGCCGTGCACGATTATCAGATGAAAAGAAAAATGACTTCTCTCATGTCATGTCTTAGTAACAAGAGGAGTAAACAAACATGCGTAGCACGACTCAGTTTCTTGCAATCGGGCGCTATTTGGCGGTACGCAGTGAGCAGCGGCGAGCGAGGAGTAGAGCTGATAATTGTACACGCCTATAGAGTCCGATCATTGCTTCCCGCGCTCTCATTGGCTCACATTTATTAATTCATATTTCAATAACTATTGCAAATTTTGCAAAATGGTAAATAACTTTTCTGTTCAGAATAACTCGATCTAGCTACACATGTTGGCTTTATAGTTTGTTGTTAGACATTTTAACATTTTGTTGTCATTTTAAAATATGTACCTAAATAAATCTGTAGAAACGCGGTTTCACGAAAAATGACCTTAACAAAAGTTGTTCGGTTCGGAGAGGGACACCTAATGGTGACCTTGAATTTGACCTTAACCACTATTTTGAAGGTCATTTCAAAGTCGAGTTGTTTTTTTTTAAGAAAAATGTATATTTTTCTTTATGACATTTTATTCTATGTAAAAAAACAAACAACTTTCATACGACCTCCATAATTTTTTTCATTTTTTTCATACGACCTCCATAGTTTAAGATAAAAAAAGAGTTGATTATTTTATTATAGCATGTTTTATTTGCAACTGTTTATAGTAACTCGCCTGTAAAATTTTACTGCAATAAATGCTCAAAGTGGTGACCACTTTTAAGCACTTGAGTACACGTTTTATCAACAATTGATGCACAGATAATAGAGTTTTTTTCTTGATATTTCCGCAAGCATTTATGATTTGCTGTTTCATATTTTGTGAAATTGTTAGTGAGTCGTGATATACTTTTTCTTTAAAGTAGCCCCATAAAAACAAAATCCATTGATGTACGATCAGATGATCTAGCCGACCAGTGAACAAAAAACAATTGCAAATAAAACGAAAATGTTATAATAAAATAAACAACTCTTTTTTTATCTTAAACTATGGAGGTTGGATGAAAAACTGATTCAGATAAAAATTGTTGGATTTTTACATAGAATAAGATGTCGTTAAAAAATAAAGGTTTCCATTTAAAAAAACAAGTTGACCTTGAAATGACCTTAAAAATAGTGGTCAAGGTCAAATTCAAGGTCACCATTAAGTGTCATTTTCTGAACCAAACAACTTTTGTTAGAGTCATTTTTCGTGAAACCACGTTCCTACAGATTTATTTAGGTGCACATTTTAAAATGGAACATTCTGTATATATTTGTTATTATATATGTACATATATATATATATATATATATATATTTATTTATATAGTTACATTTTTTAGTGTAAAGTATACACATGAATTTTTGAATTGAAATGTCAACTCGTATTGATCAATTTAATGTTAGTTCAGATTTTCAAGAGCCTTATTTCTTATTTGTTTGTAATGCATTTAGTTCTCAGATATTATTGAACGCTAATCGTAAGTTATTAAGAAAACTAACAATGTTAGAAATAGTCAAGTTTTGTTAAGATTTTTCTCAAAGTTTTAATTATTGTTGTCAAAATAAATTGATTAGAGATTGTCATTACGTGAAATACTCCAGCGTCTTCCGTGCTGTTTTTGCCTTTAATAAATTGCATGAGAAGAGTTATCATTGACATCGGCTCGGTGAAGAGCTAGACTGGTAGTTCTCTCTTTTTTTCTCTTGCTTATTCTTTTGCAGACAGACACACGTGCAGTACACAAACAAGTCATCGTTTATCGAGTCACAGACTCACGTGTAAATGTAGCGAGAACGTGAAGAAATATTCTTCGCGCTCTTTGCGAACCTATATAACTGTACCGGCTGTCTGGGTCAGGGGGCGGGCCGCTACGCGTTTGTAGTATACCTCGTATATCGGACAGGTGTACCCTATTCTGACTCTCGAGTTCTCTCGCGTGCACCTCTGAAGACCGGCGATCACATGCTTGCTCCCCGCTCACACGCCGTCTCTTTCTCTAACTGTTGCAAGCAAAGTATCGCGTCACCATCACGAAGTGATCAGTCGCGTACGCACAGAGCTTTCAAAAGCTCTCTTACAGACCCTTGATACGGCCAAAATTTTCATCTTGCCAGCAATACATTTTCCGGCTCCATTCTCGACGTCTTGTGTTGTTTGTGTTAAAGAACACGCGAAGAAGTTTGTCGGTTCAAGATCTAACTCGCGCGACACGAGTAGTGTAATAGCGCGATCTGCTCATTATTCATTCACCATCTAAGCAGAAGAATCAAGCACACTTGAAGACCACTACTTGTATTCGGATATCGCTTGGATATCGGCTCAAAGAAGTAAGATATTGCGTCGCGATTTTATCGCCGATTTCAAATTAGAGCAGAATTATATTGAATGTTTAAATTTTATAAAAAAAAAATTTGCTTTTAACACATTATTAAATTATTAATGAGGAAACAAGAACTTCACGATAAAAAGAAGCAGTGACCGCAATCTCCAATACGTAACTTTCTCGAGTATGTTATTCGCTGGCGTTTGACAGTCGATTTTAATATTCATAATGCAGAAAAGTGTAAATATTTCATTTCCGAATACTCTTCTTGCCACGTGCGAGTGTGTTGATTATTACATACGAGTAAATATCGGTAGATAATTCGCGGCTATTAAACGTGTTTCTTGCCGGACGTACGTCGGCACGGTGCTTAACAACTGCCGCACGCTACGCAAAACATAATCCAATTAGCGTTACGTTACTGATTAAGTTATTAGAGGCAGATCGCACATCATCGTTCGCGCCTCGATAATGTGTTAACAGTCGGAGTGCGTGAGAATCCATTGAGAGAAATTATACTTCACGCTGTAAGAGATGCACTACGATATCAACCACGTGGTGACTGTTTCCATTCTATCAAACATATACCACAGCAAAACAACACGATCATACAACGCATCTGTTCTATAACATCAGAAACTCTTCCAAAATGATCGTGCAGTCTGTTGTAGTTGTGCAAATATAAATTCGTAAGTATGTCATGTTTTTCGTAAACACGAGTAACGAACTTTAAAAGTCACAAAGCAAAATTTTACTATACGTATGAACGACTAAGTAACGGAATACACATTTTTAAACATTGTTATTTTTATCGCAAATACCTATACGTGCTACTTACCGAGTTTTCTGCTGTTTTTAAGAATTCCGAAATTCACCATAAAAAAACATCGGCAAAAAGATCGGTCACTGATTGCAAATTAAAGTAGCATGTACGGTTAATTTAAAAGAATTCATAATTTCTCCATGACATTGTACAAACGACATAATTAAACGAGGTCAAACGTATGTTGAAAAAAAGTAGAGCGCGAAGTTTTTATGATATGTACATAAACTCAGGCAAGAGAAAATTTGTTTGAGTGATCATTAGTAAGGGAAATTCGTATATATCTGAAGAATATATTATCATTTTTATTTTAAAAGCACACACACAAGCGCGCGCGTTACGATGTCCTTTCAGACGTATCTAGAAATATCAAGGTGTAAAAACTTAACTTCATGAATTGTAGATTACATTTTATACTATAAAAATTCATATTCTCTTAACATAAAAATTATTATTTTATTAAAAATATTGCAGTGTAATGTACCCTTGCAACAGTGGATAAAAATTATTATTTTATTAAAAATATTGCAGTGTAATGTACCCTTGCAACAGTGGATAAAAATTATTATTTTATTTATTAAAAATTAATTGGTGAACATTTTTACGCATTGAATCGCATAAGTAAGCGTATAAGTTACGATAACACACGCATCAATCAAAAACATACGGTCTATAGATCAGCGACGCGATCTAACTGCTTTGTTACACTTGATTACTATGCCATGTCGTTAATAAAAACGACAAGTGATATAGATCGCGCTGCGCCATGCATTTGCCTATCGCTATCGTTCTTCGAGATTAATAGATGCATCATTACGATCTTACATGGATATATAATTAAGTTACATTGCTAATAAGCGCGAATTATTGCCAACAGATCGTGCATAAATTATCGTCAAGGATACACGTTATCTGTACTTCTTCTTGAATGTTCAAATTTCTTGCGCTGTTTAAAGTAACTTTTGACTTTTATATGTGTGAGAAAGACAGAAAAGAAGAACAAGTAAACAAACCAAAATCTACTACTTAGATCTTACATGGATTGCTATTAGGTGCTCATTATACTCGACTTTGAAATCATTACACTGACGGAATCCGTTATACATATGTACTTGGCACCATGCCATGTCTTTGGCATGTCCGATTTATAGTTCGCGCGGGATGAGAGACGTGTAAATAGCCGGCAGTGATTTTTACTCAAGCGTGAGCGACTTGTAAGAAAAAGAGAAAGAGAGAGAGAGAGAGAGAGAGAGAGAGAGAGAGAGAGAGAGAGAGAGAGAGAGAGCAGGTCGCAACACAAATTATAAAAGCGAGATAGCTAGCACATATAATATAGGCTAACGACTGGTGATTTTCGTGATTAACTCTCTAATTACTTGCCAATAATCGGCTTTATGCGCCGAGACTGCAACATTGTGTTGATTTTATATTACATTTTTTTATTGTTCAGATTTTAATTATGTTAATTTCATACTCAAAATACCCACAATGTTACAACAAAATTAACTCGGAAACATATTTAAGGAAATCGCGATCAGATTCAAAATAATTATTGATCGTAATTGTAAAATATTGTTGATGTCTTTCATATTTGCAAAGTATATAAATTTGGAAATTATAATCACCAGTCGCGCCTGACTAATTGGTTGATCTTTTTAACTTTGATTCTACATGTGTGTGTACGCACGGTCAAAATAAGTCGACGACAGAACAAGAGAGAAAGAAAGAGAAGAGAGCCTACTTGCCTACATTTATAGAACACCAAACTTGGACATTGACTACACATTACCGCAACACATTTCGCATATCATCTCCAACTTTTCTCTTTAGTAAGCGCGAAAGCGAACGCTCTATTCGAGCTTATACTACTATTACAACAACAGTTTCAAACTTCGCGGATAAATTTTTGATGTTTGAGAAGTTTGATGAGATAAATATGTTAAAAAAATTAAAAAGTTGCGTAAACGTAGTAAGCAGAGTATTAGTTGTTTTTCTTATGTTTATTAAATTCGAAAAGTTTGATTAGTTTGTTTTTGAAGAAGTCAAAGTATATATATAGTATTTGTGCGCCAAATATATTATCATATTTATATTTAATATATGTCTAATGTACGCATATTATGTAAACAGATTATCTGAATACGAAGACATTTTCTTCTATTGTGCATCTTTTTCGCGAGAAAATAAAAAACCGCAAAAATACTCAAGCACGATTATTAAACAAATTAGTATCCAAGCAACATATATTTACTCACTGTTTACTTGACTACCTACTCCATTTGCGTCTCAGTTTACATCTAATAAAAGACTTGAGGAGAACAGAGCGAAAAAAGCGGAGATTGTCTCAATATGTTCAAATAAATAAAACAATTTCAAAATTTTTTTTTTAATTTATTTTTAGAAATAGCTAACTTTGATCTTTGGAAAAGAGTTATGTTTGATTTTTATCCCACATATATGTATATGTAAAATAGCGATATGCAGTAAATAAAAAATAAGAACTTCTTTTTTTATGTTGCTATCAAAGAAATAATTTTCTGGTATAGATAACTGAGAGAGAGAGAGAGAGAGAGAGAGAGAGAGAGAGAGAGAAAGAGAGAGAGAGAGAGAGAGACTTTGCGCTAACGTACCACATTGTCACGTTTTTAATTAATTGCACGTTAAATTTATGTGCATATCTATTTATACATTCGATTTTGTGAATCTAGCGAATTTGATTCGCATCAATAGACGACGATTGCGGCTCACAACGAGGTAACGGAGCAAAAACCCGGATATTTGAGAAGAATTTGGAACAGGTGGCCTAGTGGAATGCGCGCAAAGCGAACATGTTTTCTGATAATTAGTGATCAAACACGAGCAAAATGCGAGTTTAACAACAAGGCTCTTATGTAGTCTTTTATCCTTCGTCGCACGTAGAGAACAGAAGTGAAGTTATTAACGCTCGCCTAATATCTTTTTACAATAGCACTTGTAAATCTTACTCATTAATTACGCTATCTCATTTAAAGACTTTAAAGACTAATTATATTTTGTAAAACTTTGATTATAGATTGTGTCATGTAATCGGAAGTAAAGATATTTACATCGATAATAAAGAAGTCGCCTGAGATTACTGCAAATTTGCTGCAAGAAACATTCTTTCAACTTCAAAACTTTGATTGTACAATTATCGTTACAGGTATGACATCTTGTGTATTTATAATATTCACTTTCTTTATAAATTTATCATATAATGTATAAGTCATCTAAAAAGTTGCTTTTTTTACTGAAATGTTTTAAATAGAATTAATACTGTGTGTTTTCAGTGATAAACATAGTGTTTCATCGTGGACGTCGACGCGGTATGCAGTTGCGCATTTACTTTTTAGCCTGTCTCCTATTAAAGGAGGTAAGTGAACATATTTTTGTCTCTAAAAACATTTTTAAAATATCGATCTGTCAGCTCTATGTAATCTTATATTTGATATATAAAGAGTATCCAAGCTGAAAAAGGTCACCTAAATATATCTCTTGTTTTTAATGATAGAAAAATTGTTCATAGCAAAATTAAATGGTTTTGAAAGAAGAATACCACGGAAAAAAATTTTTTTCAAAACCATTTAAATTATGCAATGAACGATTTTTATGTCATCAGAAAGAGAGGATATTTAAGTGGGTTGCTTCACACACACACACACAGTTCACTCTATATATGACTACATTAAACATATATTAAATACACATTAACCGCATTAAAGTCTCGTGAATTACCAATGATCCGCGCTGATCCGATTAATCAATCGTAACGGCGTTCCGAAGTGAAGTGTCGATTAAACATTACCAGAACGGAAAAAAACAACTAACGAGATTTTCTGAGTAACATGCATTAAATGCCATTGGCTCGATTCCGAGACCGAGCGAAACCACCAGAGAACATGGAGAGTACCTTACACTACCGGCGCGGTAGCCGGAGAACCTCTCACGAGCGGAGGGATAGGTCGGCACGTCTGCGGTAATTACTACATTATAACCCAGATATCGCATCGTGGGTACGCACGTGGCCAGGCAATGCCGTTACCCAGTGCTCTGACCCAGAGCTAAGGGCGACTCGGGGCCGGTCTGATGTCTCAAAATGGTGCGCGCGGAGCGACGTTTCGATCCGGCTTGTTCACCGTCTACCCGCGCGGACCCAGGTAACGTTTCATCGCTGCATTGCTCGGACCCCGCTCTCTTATAAAATGGTGTGTAAAAATTCTGTGCGCGGAACGACCGGTTTCTTTGCACGCGCAAGATCACCGTTTATACTCTTTTCATCCTGTGGTCCGATATAATTTTCGATGCACGCCGTCCAGTCTTCTTTATTTTCCTGCTTACCAACAACCACGCGGTTGGCAATTATTGTTAGCCTTATAAGAGAACAGTGAGACAATAGAGCCGAGATGAATGAATCGTATTGATGTAGACACGCACTTTTCTTCTTTGTCATTAATGTTGTGTCTATATTTGCCGATAAATCTCGACGAATATAACGAAGCACTGTGCTTCTGCACTTGTTATATTAAATTCTTTAATTATTTTTGATTAGAAATAATATATCTCTAGGCTAAATATTGATGGTTGTTCATAAATGCTTTAACAGAAAATTTAATCTTTCTTTTACAAATGAACAAAAAGGATAACGTGATGTTTGGCTTTACGTATTAATATCTAAACGCGATAAAGAATTAATAACGTCGTCGTATATATGTCTGGCATAACGTCATGATTTACTCCATTCATGATACACGTATGAGCTATATACATATCTCCGTCGAGAATCGTGATGCCGGTGAAAGATCCATCGCGATAGCGCGTGGAATACGAGCAAGTGATTCAGTAGATTTTTGTCAAACTATAGGACGCGCACATTGAAAATCCATGATGAGACAAGTGGATTGATGGGCAGACGGGTGTAGAGGTGAAGTGGAAAGTTGCCTAACATGTGCGCGCAACTGGCCGATTGACCCGCGCCTAAAGACACGGGTGGTCCGTTATACCCTAAGGTCACACGTGACGCAATCACCCAACATAACGTACAGTTCTATATACACACTGATCGTGCTCCTATTCCATTCTCTCTCCTACTCCGCGACAGTTCTTTCACCATCTCCGCCAACCGTGCGGAATTCTCTAACTCTACATGTATTGAATACTCTAAATAGGCTTATCGCCGTTGGCGATTTCGTTGTTCCGCTGCTGCGCTACCGGAAGCTTTTTCGACGATCGCTCTATTTAATAATCAATCAAACACCGCATTGTAATTCTGTCAAACATCTTGACACACTTAACTTTTCCATTGAGTACGTGAGAAACAAATACCGTTGCATGGTCTTTCTTTATGTGTATGTTAAAAGTTAATATATTTTAGATAGCTTCTCTTAGCACATGTGTATACATTGACGCAATAATAATGTTAAAAACAGTCTGTGTGAGTGAAGCTACTCGACATAGTAATAGTCTTGCCTTGGGCTTGTACAAACACGTTTGAATGTGACATTAATAATTACTGATTCACAAAAAAAATAAAGATGTGTTATAAATACATAACTAATTTCACAGAAAAATAAATTTCTGCATATATTACAAGATAATATCACAAATATTTTGATTCTATCACATTCGTAATAGCCCAAGTTATTTGTTGCTATTTACGATACTTATTTTGAAGAATCGAATATTTAAGAGGATTCAATTTATTTGTTACGCGGTTGTTCATGTTCTTGCAGCTGGCTCAAGCCGAAGAAGTAGAGGTCGTGGAGGCAATTCCGGGCGAGGACAATCGGAACGAGAACTCGGCATTAAATCGGCAAGATAACGAATTAAATAATCCAGATCAAATGACGCTAGATACTATAACGGACAAAGATACGGGAGGAAATCATTACAAACCAGGGAGTGGTCTTCGAGGTCATCCTCTACTATCACCAAGTCGAGGAGCGTTGAGTTTGTCACGTCCGCATCATAGCGTCGCGTATCACGGCCCGCCACCGCCGTTACCGCCAAAAACGTCACCAGAAGCTATGGACAAAATATACATCACTGACGGTGGCGGCGTCAGCACCGCGATTGATGTTGAACCTTGGCCAGCGCCGACACTTGATATGCCGAAGATTGTGTCGCTTGACGTAAAATGCGAGAAGAGTCTAATGAAGGTATATTTAGGCTTCGACAAGCCGTTCTACGGCATTGTCTTCAGCAAAGGTCACTACAGCAACGTGAACTGCGTTCATCTACCGGCTGGATTAGGTCGTACGTCCGTTAATTTCGAAATCAGCATACACGCGTGCGGCACGGCTGGCAACACGGAAAACGGACTGTACGGCTACGGCGCTGAGTCCGGATCCGGCACGTATTTTGAGAACATTATTGTGGTGCAGTATGATCCCCAAGTGCAAGAAGTTTGGGATCAGGCGCGCAAGCTACGCTGTACGTGGCATGATCTATATGAGAAGTCGGTGACCTTTCGCCCGTTTCCTGTAGACATGCTAGATGTAGTGCGCGCGGATTTCGCCGGCGACAATGTGGGATGCTGGATGCAGATACAGGTCGGTAAGGGACCATGGGCTTCTGAAGTCTCAGGACTGGTGAAGATCGGCCAGACGATGACGATGGTGCTAGCGATCAAAGACGATGACTCCAAGTTTGATATGCTCGTGAGAAACTGTATGGCCCATGACGGCAAACGCGCGCCGATACAACTAGTGGATCAGCGGGGTTGCATCACGCGGCCTAAATTAATGTCCAGATTCACCAAGATTAAGAACTTCGGTGCTTCGGCGTCGGTATTGTCGTACGCGCACTTTCAGGCGTTCAAATTCCCGGATTCCATGGAAGTTCATTTTCAATGCACTATACAGATCTGCCGATATCAGTGTCCGGATCAGTGTTCGGAATCGTCGCTCTTAGAGAGTCAGGGTCTTTTGGAAAATCACCATCATCTCCCGAACGGCCATTCTGACGTCGGATACAATCTTCCGCCTCCTCTTCCGCTGCCGTTAGAAGCTTATTTGCAAGCAGCGGCTGGACGACCTAGAGACGAGAGGAGAAGAAGATCTCGCGAGATCGTAAACAATCCGCAAAAGAATGTGGGTGTAAATCGAATTATCCGGGTAGTTTCGACAAGCGATCTGACGTTCTCTATCGACGAAAGCAGCAACGGCGAGCTGAACGGGCCGACGATGGTATTTCCGCAGCGTAATGAGAACACGACAAACTCGACTATGATCTGCATGACTACTCCGGGATTCGCGATTACTCTCATCGTGCTGCTTACCATTTTACTCTCCTCGTGCGTATTGTCGGCTTATCTCTTTATGCGTCTCAGACCCTTTTCAGTGAAAGGCAAGAAATCCATGGCATTCTGCAACGCTGAACAGAATAGCGCGACGAAAAAATCAAGAACGTGCTTTTATTCATAGAAATTATTGCGATTGTTGCAAGTTACTTCAAGTTTATGATAATTACGATATTTTTTCGAATTAAAAGAGAGAGACTCGTCAATTGCACGATCTTACTCTCTGAAACCGGTTTCGCGATTCTTTGCAATATTGTTAGAAATCAGTAGGTCTACATAAGACAAATGCAATCGTACAAGAAGAAATTTTTATACAAAGATGTTTTTTCGGGTTTGAATCGCGTTAGTGTCATTTTTATACCGCCGTTTCGTAAACATTACAGCTCACTTCATCAGGGTTTGAAGAGCAGCCTGATACTGAGTATTAAAAAATTTGATATTTGATGCTTTCGCGGTGTAGTATTAACATACAAATATGTTTTTTAATCTTACTTGAACACATTTCATAAAAAAAAAACATTAACAGCAAAAAGGTAGAAGTCATTTATTTTTATAGACACTTTTGGCAATTAACGTACAATATTTTTTCTATAAGTATGCTACATGCGCGCGCACGCACGCACACACACACACACACGCACACACACACACACACACACACACACACAAAATTGTTGCAAACGCAACTGAAACGCACAGCGGGACAGTTTTCATAAGAACCTACGATATTTTGTAATAAAAGCTGGTCTTCTCAAAATCAAGAATTTTTAAGTTTCGTAGAGGCTATCGCAAGCACGACTCTATAAAACTATATATACTATCCTTATAACGGCAGAGTATTATACTATAGCGATATTATTTTACAATAATATTCCGTGATACTCGATTATTATTTTCTGTTACGACCTCTATGGAGTTGTGCTTTATTATAATAAAGCTCAGGCGTTTATAAGCAAACATAGGCCATAAGAAAATTTAGTCAAAGATAATCAAACTTGTTCTCCAGTTTATTATTTATATACTTACGTGTTTAGTTTCTTTTTTTTTTGGTATTTAAGACTCTTATACAAAAATAACTGTTCGGCATATGATCAAGCAATATTACTGCTGAAATGTTTTTGCAAAAATAGTCTTCAACATAGAATTTAAGTTATTTTGTTAATAATATTACATGATATTATCTTTTTATTTATTTTTGCACCGCAAAAACTATTTTAAGTTTTTTGAAATTTCTTTCCTGTGTAAACATTTATAACTTCCTACATATAAAACAGACAAATAAAAGAAGAAGAAAATTACAAAATATGAAAAACTACATTTAAAAAATATAAAAAACTATAAATAAAATTACAAAATATATGAAAAACCATATCATTTTTCATTATTAAATAAATTAAATAATTAACAATAAATGCATCTGCACTTATAATGTGTCAGTGAAAAATTGTCTGTTATATAAAAATATCTAATTGTACATATTTTGTTAGTGTTTTCTTTAAACTACAAACTCAGAAATTATGCCAAAATGTGTTACACTAATACTATACAAATTAGAAAACAGATATACATTATGGTGAAGTTATAAAATATAAAGTGTGCTTGTGAAAAAAATTCAAGTAATGCTAAAATATTAGGCAACTTTTGCATTATTGTTACAACGTAATTATTAGAAAAATTTTATGAAAATACAGAGAAACATAAGTAGAGAAAAAATTAAATAATAAACAGTCATTAGTTTATACATAAGCGTGACTTACCTAGTGCATGAGAGAAAAACTTACATTTTCAATATAGAAGTTAATTGAGTATTTCCGTCGACTTAAATTGAATATGTTTAAATTATACTTATTTATTATTTTATTGTATAATAACAGTAGTTGGTTTGATGTTCAGAGATATGTGTATTGTATTATGTTTTATACAAAATAAATTATAACATATACTTATAGACGTACGGTAGCACGCTCAACTATATATTCTGTAAATATATTTATAGTGTACGTCGCTCGCGCCACTTATCTATTTATTTTTACCTTCAAATAAAAATATAACTTTTCTAAAATAAATAAACCTTCTTGTGTTTTATTTTTGTTCAGTCGGTTTATTTTTTCCTTTCATTAAACCATATCGCATTTAATACTTTGATGTATAAGTGTACATGTATACAGGGTGTCCGACAATTACTTTAGCATCTCTCGTAGGCAGATAAAAGAAGTAAAACTGAATCAAAAAGTCCTGAACCATTTTTTTCTATTACATATAATAAAGGAGTAATTATTGAATAAATCAAGCCAATCAGCGCCGACCCTTAGCCGAACGCACGTCAGTGAACCACGCGCCTGGTGTGCGTGAGCGCTCCGTGCGGCTCACTGACGTGATTTATTCAATAATTACTCTTTTATTATATATAATAGAAAAAAATGGTTCAGGACTTTTCAACTCAGTTTTACTCCTTCTATCTGTCTATAAGAAATGCTAAAATAATTGTCGAACATCTCGTATATAGATGTACGTTAGGCTTAATTTAAATGTATGACAGTTTCATATGCACATACAAACTTATTGTTAGTCCTAGCTATAAACAATATAACTAAGCAACTTGTATAAGTTATTTAAACAAATATCAAACAACTTCAAAAATTATTTTTCAATTATACTAAAATTTGTAAATCAATTCGTTTCGTAAAATAAAAAGAACTCATATTGTAAAAATGTTAAAGTATCTGTTCCATATTATATTTGTAGAAAATCTTTTTATCAAGATACTTTGTAAAGATGTTACAGTATATAATTTCTTTCAATATATGTATATTTGTAGAAAATCTTTTTGTGTAAGATTCTTTAATAGATAAATAATATACGATTACTTACATATTTATATAAATATATCAGGTATGCAGAACTCAATGTGTTACGTGATAATTTATATAATGACATGTTACAATTTGCGACAAATTAACTATATACAAAAAGAAATTGGATGTAAAAGCAAATCGTAAACTTTTACATATATGCATTAGCAGGTTATCGTACTCTGAAGAAAAAGATGTTTTAAATCAGGGACTTAATACCGGTATGATTTCAATACCGGTATTATACTAGAGATTGTATACCGAAACCGATATATAGTACCGAAATTGAGTCTTACCGTTACCGTTATAGTACCGAAACCGATACATTACCGAAAACCGTAATAAAATACCGGTATTATTTCGGTATTCCTACTAATGGTATTCTTAAAAATTAGATAGGTTAAATAAAGCAATTTTTGTTGCATAATTAATCTTCCTACCGCTTATTGGACTTATAGACCGACAAAATATAAAGACGCTTTTTTTTATAAACCAATTGAAGCAGCTATTTCTTCATGCTTTCTTTTATTACGTAGCATGACTAATGTAAATTCATACGGATGAGTCAAAGATACATGTGCCAATAGATTTGTAGCATGATTTCCCTAAAGATATATTTTATTTAAAAAATAATTACACGACGTCTAGTATATATAAATATATTTAAAACTACTTACAGTAACTTCATGTCTACAATCATTAATTAAACATAATGATTTGTTGCACGATGAATCATATACTGGAAATACTCGTGTACAAAATTTGCTCTTCTCTGGCCCATGTTTTCGTATTGGACAAATTTATATATAAAATGTAAAAAAAATTTGAAAAAATAAAAAATAAATAAAAAAAAATTAAAAAAAAAATAAATAATAATAATAATAATTAATATTATTAATTATTATTATTATTATAATTAATAATAATAATAATAATAATAATAATAAT